GCATTTTAACAGACTGAATCACGCAGTGAAAGAACGCAGTCTAAATGGGCGCGTGCAGTAGTCTAATCTACTAGACTTCACAGCACTCTGTAGGAGTGTTTTGTTTTGTTTTTGGCAAAATACTGATAATGTCAAATCGCACATCGTTAAAACAACAATTACGATATTATCGCAGACGATATATATCGCACACTCTGCAATACTCTCTTTTTGGCTAATTTGTGCAAAACCTCTTGCTAAATGGTCAAAGCTTCATTTTAACCACCAATGCAACGATGCAAGTATTTACCATACCTATACATGCTTGCGAAGGGCTGATGTCGAGATTTTATAAGCTGCTAGTTCGGTCTCCCTAGGCAAACACAGCTTACACTGCATAATAGAGCATAAATATTGGTTCACTTAATTTCCTTTGAGTTCAACTTCAGCAGAATATGACGGGGTATCGTTTTCAGCTGGGTCTGTACCACTAATGCCTGTCATGACCGTCCATCTTTCTTGTGATTTTAGCGCCAGTTTGCTCTCCTACCCATTATTTACTGCAGTAGTTTCCAGAGAGCTTAGAGAAAATTCCATAATTTTACTCAGTAATGAATGTTTTAAAATGTAGCGAAGTACAATACTTCAAACAAAATATACTTAAGTAAAAGTAAAATTACAGATTTTAAAAATTACTTTAAAAAGTAGAAGTACACAAAAAAGCTACTCAATTACAGTAACGCAAGTAAATGTAATTCGTTACTTTCCACCTCTGCATATCACTCTGTCCCACGGGCAGCGTTGGGGCTTTCTGATCACTGTTTGGTTCATCTCATACCGACCTACAGGCAGAAACTGAAATCAGCTAAACCTGTATTAAGGACTGTAAAAAGATTTAGCAGAGTAGGATTTACAAGCCTGCTTCAAATGATTGGAGTGTTTTTGAAGCTTTTGCCACCAATCTGGACGAGCTCACAGAGGCTGTAACAATGCATTTTAGTTTATGTGCATTTATTACCAGGACTCATTTAACTTACAACAATGATAAACCATGGTTCACAGCAAAACTCAGACAGCTTTGTCAGGCCACAGAGGATGCCTACAGGAGTAGGGACAGAATCTTGTACAATCAGGCCAGGAACACACTGACAAAGCAGATCAGAATGGATTACAGGGGCTACTCTAATAAGCTGGAAAACCAGTTTTCTGCCAATGGCCCTTCTTCAGTGTGGAAAGGACTGAAAGACATCACAAACTACAAGACCCCATCCCCAAGCACTGAGACGAATCAACAACTTTCTGAAGACCTGAATGAGTGTTACTGCAGATCAGTGAAGGTCTTCAGAAAACAAAAGAGAAGAAAAGCACCAGGCCCAGATGGTGTTTCACCAGCCTGTCTGAAAACCTGTGCTGACTAGCTGGCCTCTAGCTTTTCACAGATCTTTAATAGATCACTGGAGCTGTGCAAAGTCCCTGCCTGCTTCAAATGCTCCACCATCATCTCCATCCCAAAGAAACCCAAAATCACAGGACTAAATGATTACAGGCCTGTTGCCCTAACATCTGTGGTCATGAAATCGTTTGAGAGGCTGGTGTTAGCTTATCTAAAGGACATCACTGGACCCTACTGGTCCCCCTGAAGTTTGCTTATCAAGCTTACATATCTGTATATGATGCAGTCAACATGGGACTGCATTATATCCTACAACATCTTGACAGACCAGAGACTTATGTCAGGATCCTGTTTGTGGACTTCAGTTCGGCTTTCAATACAATCATCCCAGCACTCCTCCAGACCAAACTAACCCAGCTCTCTATTCCTAACTCTATCTGTCAGTGGATCACCAGCTTTCTGACAGATAGGCAACAGCTAGTGAGACTGGTGAAATTAATGTCAAACAGCCACACCATTAGCACTGGTGCCCCTCAGGGATACGTTCTCTCCCCACTGCTCTTCCCTCCTCCACACCAGTGACTGCACCTCTACAGACCTTTCTGTCAAGCTTCTGAACTTTGCAGGTGACACTACAATCATCGGCCTCATGCAAGATGATGATAAGTCTGCATATATAAGTGAGGTTGAGCAGCGGGCTGTCAGGTGCACTCTTAACAACCCCCCAGCACTCCCCCCACTCACCATCATGAACAACACTTTGCTGCAGTAGAGTCATTCAGATTCCTGGGCATCTCTCAGGACCTGAAGTGGGACAATCACATTGACTCCATTGTTAAAAAGGCCCAACAGAGATTGTACTTCCTCTTCCAGCTGAGGAAGTTCAACCTGCCACAGGAGTTGCTCACCCAATTCTACTCAGCCGTCATTGAGTATGTCCTGTGCACTTCAATAACTGTCTGATTTGGCTCAGCTACAAAATCAGATATCAGAAGACTACAGAGGATGGTTCGGACTGCTGAAAGGATTATTGATGCTCCCCTGCCCATTCTTTAAGAACTGTATATATCCAGAGTGAGAAAAAGGGCTCAGAGCACCGAGCACCTGGACTGCCAGGCACAAAAAAAAGTTTCTTTCCCCAGGCAATCTACTTAATGAACAGTTAAATGTTCTCCCCTACTTCGATAATATATATATATATATATATATATATATATATAAACATACACACACACACACGTGTATTTTATTCACATATCTTTATTTTTTATTATCTGTGTTTTCTTTGTCTGCAACCTCACAGATGCAACAGCCATTCAAACCACCATCAGGAAGCTGGAATCTTGGCTCACCACAGTCAAAAAGTCTGGCCAATTTAAAGACTGGATATACCAACATGGCATTGTACCTTGAGTCCCCTGGCCTATTCTGGTGTATGAAGTAACCACGTCAACAGGTGGTTGGGACTGCCATGCAGCAGCACTCTATGAAAGGATAAATAAGCTATAGCTCCTATTCAGCAGCCTAGAAGAGAAGTTCAAGGTCTTTTGCACCAGAGAGGTACTACTCTATTGGGGCTCTAAGGACTCAAGGGTGGCATCGGCATGCATCACAGTGCAGACATGCAGGAAGTGGAGAACACAGGAAGGCCTGGAAATTGCTGAGTCCTGGCTCAGACACAGGACTTTGGTGGGCACGGTAGCTACAGGCTGGGCAGGGTTAGGTGCCAACCCACAACCCCACTATAATAAAGCCCATTGAGACCACCACCAGCTAGTCCCGGAGGAGGGGATTTAGAAGGCAGATCTCCAGCAGATCAAGTTATTGGTCCAAGAGGTCTATTCTTAGTAGCCCAGCGAATCTTCACATCTGGGGAAAGAGTAATTCACCAGCATGTCATCTAAGCCCTGGGAGGGCACATCTTAAACAGCTGCCCAACAGCCCTGGGGAAGGGCTGCTACTGCTGGTGGCATGATCAGGTGCTGAAGTCCATCGCATACCCCTTTTCCACCAGCATGAACCGGGTTTTATTTAAGAGCTAGTGCTATTGCCAGTTCGGAGTTGGTTCGACTGGCGAGCCTTCTAAGAACCGGTTTGCCTTTCCACGGGTTAGAGAGTCACCAGAGAGCCAGGTCTTATGTCACTGAATGCGTCTCATCTTTCCCAGCAACGCTAGCGCAGCAGTGCCAAACACAAACACACCAGGCTTGTTCGAGATGCATTGTCGCTGCGCAGACCGATCGTTGTATGACATCAAAGTCATGAAGTTGACATCAAAGTTGAAGAGGTGAATGATCAGAAGAGGTCCAAGTATCAGGAGCTGGTGGAGAAGTGCAGAAGGGCAGGCTAGAAGGCATGCTGCGAACCAAAGTGGGGCTTTGCTGGCTGGTCACTGTCTAAGGACTACACACTGCTTGGCATTACTGGGGCTGCAAAGAGGAAAGCCATCAAGTCCACCATGGAGGCTGCATGATGGCTGTCCAGATAAGAGGAGTGATCCGTGGGCCAGTGTTGCTGGGACACAAGCCAGGGTCTGATCAATCCTGGCAGGGTCACCTGGGCGAGGGTCTATGATGTTGAAAGACCCAAAACACCCGCTGACCTTAGAAACATCACTGAAGATGTGTCCCAGCACATCCTAGGATGTGTCTTTGACACAGTTAGAACAGTTTGCAAGAGCACAATTATTTTTGAGCTTTTCTGTTCAGTGTGATAATGATTGATGTCAAACTTTGTAGTCCCATTTAGCCACTCTAGCAACCGTCTTTTTCAAGACTATAAAAAAAACACTGTATTACTGATGTATTTTATGTTGCAGAATAAAATGTAAAAATATCTTGAGCTTGTGTTCACCACAGACCTTATTTCAGGCATTTGACCAAAAACCGGATGTGCTAAAATGCTAAGTCATTTCTGGGTTTTGGCCTACAAAAATACATAATCCCTGCAGCACTCTATTACAGTATATAAGCACTTCCATTATATATGTGACATAACTTCATTAATAACATTCACAAACATGGTATAATGCTTTTAAATATTTAATAATTGCAGTCATTTTAAGCATTTAAATACACTGAAACATAGTTGTCAGTGTGACAAGAATAACAGATAAATGTTCATAAAGTTTTATAAATAAAATCTTGTTTATCATATTATTATTACTATTATTATTATTTATTTATTTTTTTTACAATCTTTAGTACCCCTCAATACTTAAGTCACTTTTTCAATAATCTTCACAGTTCTCCTTACTCACTTTTAGCTAGGCACAGCGGTAATTTTCACATTTAAAATGCACTAAACATAACTTCACACATGTCTCTAATCAATTCATTCTTCCATAAACACACTGTCACTCATAAAACAATCACCTGAATGACAAGGTAACATTATACACTAACAACATGTAACATTATACAGTGTTTTCTTCAATGTTACAGTGTTTTCTTCTGTATAATGTAATCTCTCCACTATTAGAATTCACTGCAATATATGTTGCATACATGGTCCATGTTTACATTACAGTACAACATTCTTACTAAATTGTTTCCTTTTGTACCAATGGTAATGCATTTTGAGAGACTAACAGCTGTGTAGGGGTTTGGCTACATCAAGTTGTTTTTATAGTAATTCATCTTTTAGATTTGCAATATGGTATTACTGCAGAACTGTAGCTTATTCAGAATTGCTGTCAGTTTTGTAGGGTTTCCTTTTAGGGTTTCAGCCTAAGTTTAACAGTTTTGGAAAAAGTATGTGAATATGTGCAAATTGGCCTGTAATCATTTAATTTCAAAGAGGTAGTGATTGAATGTATTTTGTGCCAAAGCAATGGAAAATTATCCACAGTTTAACCCTTAAGACTGCTGTTGTGTTCACTGTGCTCACCCAAGTATTGAGAAATAAGCCCTAGTGATTGTTAAAAAAAAAAATGGCAAAAAATGCCTAAAATAAAACAAGTTTTGTCAAAGTAATTTGTATACCTTTCTGCTATAACAATGTCTGGAGTCCAAACCATGTCTTTCCGGGCTGAAAATGTATTCATTCCACAAAATTCATGGCTGTTCCAATCCATATTTATATTTATCCAAGCCTGCAAAGTTATAAATTCACAGTGATTACAAGAACAAGATGCTTAAAAATCAAATATGAACTCTTATAATGCATGAAAACGTTTTGTAAAATGATTAAAACTTTGTGAAATAAAAGTGAAATAGGGTTTTAAAAGACTTACAGTTATCATTTTGACCTGTATCGTGAGGCTTTGGGCTTTTTCATCCTGTAGATAAAAAAAAAAAATTAATACATTTTTAAAAAAGTGTTGATGAAACTACTGCTTGATATTCCATAATGACCTGAATGAGAAGGTAAATCATGTTGAACTCACCACATCTATGATGGAGGTCACATATAGTTCCACAAAAACATGGGTAGCATCCCCATAATACAAGGGACGCTTTTGATTGTCATTCTTGTCCAAGCCAAGATGTTCAAAAAGTGCATCATAAGCTGCAGCATTTTCTGTATTATTGCAGTTTTTAGCGTCAGACACCCACCCTGTGCAATGAGACTTTGTTTAACATACCAGAATACCAGAATTATTTACAAAGAACACAGTGAATATGAAAGAGAATCAAATTTTCTTTTTTTTTTTTTTTTTACTTCATTGTACTAAAAGTACTAATGGGTAACTTACTGTAGAAAAAAAGAAAAAGGAAAGGAAAGAAGAAAAAAAAAAACCGGTTCACAACTTAACTTTTTGAGTTAGGAATTTTTTTTTTCTTTCTTTCTTTTTCTATTTTTTTTTCTTTTTTTTTGCACTGACTCAACACATTTAAAGTTCATTGAGCTTATAAAGTTTATTTGGAATAGATTTATGAAAGTAAGGTGAACCTGTGTACTTTAAGTTTTCAGTATAAATAAAGGTGACTTGACTTGACTTGACTTAGTTATTTGAACTTATAAAGTTTAAGTGGAATAACTTTATGAAAGTAAGATGAAGTTTTCAGTACCAAAGTTGATGTTCATTTAACTTAATTAACTTAATTTTTTGAGGTATCTTTTTGCATTGACTCAGATATTGTATTAAGGTAGCATAGTTATTTATTATTGGCATTTACAAATCCACTGAATTATTTTTAGAGTTTAGAAATGAATTTAAATGGGAATGAAAAAGTTGTCGATCAAAACATAACTGAAACATTTGAAATAAAATTATTATTTACAATTGAAATAAATAGATTATTTATTTGGTTGAACTAAGAAAATAAGCCGTATTAGGTCAAATGAACTTTGGTATTGAAAACATAAAGCAAGTTCACTATACTTTCATAAGGTTATTCCAACTAAACTTTATAAGTTCAAATAACTAAATAAAGTTGAAAATACTATGTATTCTATTTAAATATAATTATATATAGTCCAAGTAAAAATATACGTTTTTTTCCCAAACACACATTATTGCCAGAGCCATTATGGAGAGTGTAGCTGACTTTGGGCTGAGCTCTGGGATGAGAGCGGGCATTGAACTGTACTCAGGGGCTAGAGCCATCACTGAAGCGGACTCAGGGGCTGGAGCCATCACTGGAGCAGACTCAGGGCTGAAGCCGAGAATAGAGTGGATTTAGGGGCTGAAGCCATCACTGGAGAGGACTCAAGGGCTAAAAACCCACAATGGAGCTGACACGGGAGCGGACTCAGGGGCTGGAGTGGATCTGTGGGCAGCCCAGACACACTGCTTCACTCACCAGAAGCATTGTGACCATTTGCACTGGCAATGCTCCAGTCCTTGGGCTTGGAGACACTGTGATTGTTTGTACTGGCAGTGCTGTTAAGTCCTTCTGTAGTATGGGTCTGGTTTTTCTGTCATGGGATGTGTAGAATAAAGTGCACGATGAAGGAACAACATCTAAAACCAAGAGTTCTTTAATAATAACCCACAAGGAAAGCACTGGCGATTGCAGGAGTAAACAAAACAAAGAAACGTCTCATGTAACCCTCGTTCCCTGAAGGAGGGAGCGGAGATGTCACGTCGGTAATGACCGACTTTGGGATCTCGCTTAGAGAGACCAATCCACTTCGAGTGTAAACTAAATGAGCCCATGCACATTGGCATGTGATGATTGCATCCAGCTGCCCTGATTGAAGCGTGAGTATAACTAGGCAGCAGGTGCAGTGCTTACTCAGGTTTTTGCTGATGAGCCGAGCCGGTGACCCGGTCGCTCAGCGGTGGTACAGCAGCTGTGGAGACGGGACATGACGTCTCCGTTCCCTCCTTCAGGGAACGAGGGTTACATACGTAACAGAGACATTCCCTTTCAGTCGGTCACTACGAGTCACATCAGTTATGACCGACTTTGGGATCCCTACCAAAGCGCCACAGATGCTGCCACTTCCAGTGTCCTGAGCGAGCCTCCTGCGCTCCCTTTTCAGCGTAGGCCGGGGCTCGCAACAAGAAGACCAGTCACTGTTTGTCGTAGCACTACCCACTCAGTGAGATTGGATAACACTGGGAAAACGTACCCGTTCCACTTGGAACAGGAACGTTGCGGAAGCCCCATCCTTCCCGAATGAGGTTTCGGAAGCACTTACACATCTGAACAACCGTTTAGGTGCATGTGGAAGATTAGAGGTGATTATAACCCTGTTGGAAATGGCAGAAGTCTGCCAGGGAAACACGGGGCTCTGAGGCTATACCGTGGACTTTACACATATGTGATTCACTCAGGTCTCTACATATGGAACCCAGCCCTCTACCGGTTCTCACGGATTCATCGAGTGAGGTACTAATGGGTAACTTACTGTAGAAAAAAAGAAAAAGGAAAGGAAAGAAGAAAAAAAAAAACCGGTTCACAACTTAACTTTTTGAGTTAGGAATTTTTTTTTTCTTTCTTTCTTTTTCTATTTTTTTTTCTTTTTTTTTGCACTGACTCAACACATTTAAAGTTCATTGAGCTTATAAAGTTTATTTGGAATAGATTTATGAAAGTAAGGTGAACCTGTGTACTTTAAGTTTTCAGTACCAAAGTTCACTGTATTTATTTATTTATTTATTTTTGTTCACTCAACTGTATCAGTGAAAATAGATAAATCAAAGTTAAATTGAATTTACTTCGTATATTCAACTTAAGTTTAGTTTAGAAAGTTTAGAAAAACACGTCACTTCCTGTTTGTTGCTGCCGTGTGTTTTGAGTTTGAGCTCCGTCAAGTGAATTCTTTGTCGTCTAATTTTTTATCTTAAAATCAATTTTATACACCATCATTTTCGTTTCTATAACGTGTGAATATATCCCCTATCGTATTCTACCATATGGGATCCACTCAGGTTTTTACATATGGAAACCAGCCCTCTACTGCTTCTCATGGATTCATCAAGTGAGGGCTTGGCGCCGGACGTTCCACCACATCTGGCTGCCGAGGGGATGGAGGAGCTCGACAGGGTCTACCATACGGACTCTCTGGAGCGGTTTAGCAAACCGACACTAAACCGGGGCCTCTCAGTGCTTCTACCCATTTGAGGTGAGAACACAGGAGGATACCCTCACCATGAAGGCTATAGAATCTAGTGAACGTGTTGGGGGTCGCCCAGCCCGCAGCTCTACAAATATCTGTCAGCGAGGTGCCACGAGCCAGCGCCCGGGAGGATGCAACACTTCTAGTAGAGTGAGCTCGCAAACTGAGCGGGCAGGGCACACCCTGTGTCTGATAAGCCAGGGTGATGGCATCCACTATCCAGTGGGCCATCCTCTGCTTAGAGACGGCATTCCCCTTCTGCCGATCTCCGTAACAGACAAAGAGCTGATCTGAGGTCCTGAAGCTTTGTGTCCGGTCTACGTACCATCTCAAGGCTCGGACGGGACTGCCCTCCTCCGGGGGCAGCGCTTGCAGGTTCACTACCTGATCCCTGAAGGGGGTAGTAGGAACCTTGGGCACGTAGCCAGGCCGGGGCCTCAGGATTACCTGGGAGTCAGCCGGCCCAAACTCTAGGCACGATTCAAGTTTTCATTGAAAGAAACGTTAGCTCGACTGACTGCAAGGGCTCAGATGGGCCCTGCTGTAGTGCTCTGAGAACTATAGTCAGGGCCCAAGAGGGTATAGAGAGGGGCGGGGAGGATTTAACCTTTTCGCCCCCCTAAGGAACCTGACGACCAAATCATGCCTCCCTACAGACTTCCCTTCCACGGGGTCGTGATACGCAGCAATCGCAGCCACATGGACTTTAAGGGTGGAGGGAGACAGCCTTCGCTCCAACCCTTGCTGCATAAAGGACAGCACGACTCTGATCGGGTATCTATGGGGGTCCTCTCGGTGAGAAGAACACCACTTGACGAACAGGTTCCACTTCAAGGCATGGGCGCTCGTAGACGGTGCTCTTGCTGAAGTGATGGTGTCTACTACCTCTTGGGGTAGGACACCTAGATCCTCCGCATCCCATCCAGGGACCATATGTGAAGTTTCCAGAGGTCTGGACACGGGTGCCAAAGTGTGCCCCGTCTCTGAGTCAGTAGATCCTTCCACAGAGGAATCGGCAAGGGAGGGGCTGTCACGAGGAGCATGAGTTCCGGGAACCAGGTCCTGTTGGGCCAATATAGAGCCACTAACAAGACCTTGTCCTCGTCCTCCCTGAACTTGCACAGTGTCTGTGCTCGGTTAGGGAGTAGAACCACTGGCAGTGGGTGGTTTCTGGAGATGCAAAAAGGTCTATCTGAGCCATCTCCAGATCAGCTGAACCACCTGGGGTGGAGTCTCCGCTCTCCTGGAAGTGCTGCTCGAGTCAGCTCGTCGGCTGCCTGATTGAACACTCCCGGGATGTGGATGGCACGAAGGGACCTCAGATGCTTCTGACTCCACAGGAGGAGATGGCAGGCGAGTTGCGACATGCGACGGAAGCGTAAACATCCTTGCCGGTTTATATACGCAATGGTCGCAGTGTTGTCTGTGCGGACCAGAACGTCCCTGCCCCGAAGGCGCCGTCTGAGGCAGCTCAGGGCAAGGCATACTGCTAGCAACTCAAGGCAATTGATACGCCAATGCAGTTGGGGACCTGTCCAAACCCCTGAGACTGCATGCCCATTGTACGTGGCCCCCAGTCGGTGGCTGAGGCATCCGTGAATACCACAGCATGCCTGGATACCTGCTTCAGGGGCACTCCTGCACGAAGAAACGAGGGATCTGACATCGGGCTGAAGGTTCTGCGGCAGGCCAGTGTAATCTGAACCCAGTGAGTACCGTGTTGCCACACCCACCTCGGGACTCGGCCATGGAGCCAGTGCTGAAGCAGTCTCATATGGAGCAGACCGAGCGGAAATACCACCGCAGCTGCAGCCATATGCCCCAGGAGCCTCTGAAAGAATTTCAGTGGGACCGACGTCCTGCCTGATAAAGTCTTGAGGCAGTTCAGCACTGACTGAGCACGTTCGTGGGTGAGGCGTGCTGTCTGACTGGCCGAATCCAACTCCATGCCGAGAAAAGAGATCCTCTGCGTTGGCACGAGTTTGCTCTTTTGCCAGTTGACCCGAAGACCCAATGGGCTGAGGTGTCTGAGCACCAGGTCCCTGTATGCGCACAACTGATCGCGAGACTGTGCGAGTATGAGCCAGTCGTCGAGATAGTTGAGAATGCGCACCCCCCGTTCTCTCAAAGGAACAAGGGCTGCCTGCAACTGGTACATTATACTGCCATCCAAATCCAGAATGTCAGCGTTTTTTCTCCCACCACCTGTGTTAAAATCCACTGTATATATATATATATACATATATATATATATATATATATATATACACACACACATATTCATATTGAACCTTTCGGTACGAGGCTTTACAAACTGAACGATTCGATACGTTGGACTAATCCTATTACATTTGAAAAATAAAATAGCTTAAAGTGTGTGAAAAATAACGTTTACTTTCGAAAGGGAACTGCACGCTGCGTCCTCTAGAGCAGTGGTTCTCAAACTTTTTACAGCGGCGTACCCCCTGGGGCATTTAACATTCTTCTGCGTACCC